GGAGTCAGGACAGCAGAGGAGGGTGAGGAGTTGGGGGGCAGCAGGCACCAGGGGAGATGATGGAGCAAGGAGAGGAGACATGGCAGCAGAGAGAAAAGGTAAAGGTTTATAAAATATTTATTAATAACTTAGTATTTTGCCCACGGCCAGTTTGTTTGTGCCCCGCAGTATAGTTTGGGTTTATGTGGGGATCAACACGTGGCTGGTGAGTGGAAGCCGAAACAAAAAAGTAGTCAGTGTAATGATCTTCTGTTGATGTGTTTTAGTAGTTAAATTCTTTGACTGTCATTGCGCATGAAAAGTGCTGTCACATCGGTAGAAATCGTATAAATATTGAATTTTATTAATATCAGCAGAACTGACTTAAATGGGGCCTGTGTGTTGTGTAGTCTTGCCTTAATCTTTGTATTCATGCCTGTCAGTGTAAGAGAAGCTATTTGTATATATTTCCTTGCATATGCAACCACACTTAAGTTGAGGCCCTCAGCATCAGTGTGGCCCCTGGGGCTTCCAAAGTTGAGTTGCCCTAGCTCATCTCTGACAGGTGTCTATCTAACCTGGTCTTAAATATCTCCAGTGATGGAGATTCTACAATCTCACTAGGCCAGCGTTTCCCAAACTATGGGCCGTGGCCCGGTACCTGGGAGTGGGACTGACCCGACCATATGTAGATCTCGGAGCGCTGCCCCCTCCCCAAAGCACAAGTTAGTCCAGCCCAGGGATTCTATTGTCCCCTACCTCCCGACCCCCCCCCACACACCCTCAAGTAATTGCGAACTGTCTGGCTGGTAGACACACTCATGCAGCCTGAGCACAATTACCAGCCAGGCAGTTCGAAACTACAAACTGATACATCTAGTAATAATAAAACTTACCTAATGAGTAAATACCAGACATGTTATATGTCTGGTATTTTCTCAGTTTGTTTATGTGTTTATATTTTTGGACTGCAAAAAACAGTGCTGAAAAAAAGGGTTCCAACTAAAGTAAAACGTTTGGGAAACCCTGGTCTAACCAGCTTTCTGTCTGTCTTACAATCCATTTATCCAATCCATATTCCTTAACTTGCTGGGAAGAATATTGTGGGTAACCATATCAAGCTTTGCTAAAGCTGGCACTGGGGGTTTTGGGAGGACTTAGAAACAACTTATTTGAATATTCATCATTTGATTAATAAATATTCAAATATGCAAATAAATGTTTCCGGTCCTCCAAAAGTTCATGAATGGATTTACTGGTCCCCGTGTCAAAAAGTCTGGGAACCCCTGAATTACATCACCATATAAATAAGAGAGGTCATGGAGGAGGAAATGACAAATATGTAATATACATTATGGTTTAAAGGTGTTATGAATACAAGAGGAGCTTCTCTGCCATTTTGCACTTGGTATGTCTCTTCTTGGCCTCAGTTAACCTTTTATTTCCTAACATAAAGTGCTTTATTTAGTAAATCGGATCATCCTTCTGGCTTGCACACCAAACAAATCCATACTTGCCAAATCTCTCCAGCTATTTCGAGGGTGATAGTGTGTGTGCCTGTGTTTGAGAGAGAGAGATGTGGAAGACAGGCGGCAAGACCTGCCACTAGTACTGTCTTTAGGGAAGGAGACAGGCCCATTTTGCGAGGGAAGCAGACTCCTTCATTGAATGTAACTTTTAAGCCAAGTCTCTCTGTTCTGCGGATGACTGGAAGGGGATTTTGCTTCGAGAATTTTGCTGTATACTTTAGTATCTCTGCCCACCGCATACCCCTCACACACAGTGCCCAAGAAAATCCCCCGACCCCGCTCCGCACGGTGCCCGGGGGGAAACCCCCTCCCGCACACTCATGCATGCTCCCAGGAATCCCCGCCTCTGGGGATCCCCCGCCTGCACACCCGGGGCCCAAGGGCATCCCTCTCCCTCCCACCCACGGGATCCTCCGCTCCTCCCGCATGCCCCGTACGCACGGGGATCCCCCTCCCGCACACACCATACCCAGGAGGATCCCCGCCCCGGTAGGGATCCCCCTCACACACCCCGAACTTACGGGGATCCTCCAGCCCCTTTGGCTGCCGATCTTCTACTCGGCTGCACAGCGCGCACCCCTCCCCGCGCACCCCTACTCCGGCACCTGAGGCAGGAACTTTTCCCTCTTCCCCGTTCAAACGTGCTGCCGTAAAGCACTCGTCTCCCCTGGCAACAAGGTTCCGGCCGAGAACTAGGTGTAGGAAGGTGATGTAAAAGTAAAACCACCCAGTTTTGTAAACCAGGTCCGGGGGGGAGGGGTGGGAGGGGAGGGAGGGGGAGGAGGTGACTGGAGCATTTAGACACAAGCGAGAGGATCATGGCGGATGGCCCCAGGTGTAAGCGCAGGAAGCAGGCGAACCCGAGGCGCAATAACGGTCAGTCAGCCCGCAGGGCAGCGGCCCGCTCCGCGCCGGCCCGGCTCCGGGACCGGGCTGGGCCGCCTGGAGTGCAGGGGGGACGGGAGAAGTAGAAAGTAATTTCCCTGCTGCGCCTCGCTGGGAGCCCGGCTCCCTCTGCACCGTTATATCCGCTACCTGGTGCCTCCCTCGCTCCCTCCCTCCGTGCTCGCTCCCTGCCTCCCTCCTCCGCCTAGTGGTGCCTCCTCGCTCAGCCGCCTGTCCGGGACCGTTACCCGCTGGCTCGCCAGCGGCAGCACCAGCACCTTCCCCTGCCGCCCCCGGGGTGGCGGGTCCCCCCTCGCGGGGCTCCGAGCCTTTCGGGGCGCAGGGGGAAGGCTCGGTCGGTCCTAGCAACCCAACTCCCAAACTTGTTACCTGGGTGCGCGAGAGAGCGGGGACAGGCGCCTCCGCCCTGGGCTGGCAGCGTGCGCGCCCCGGGCCGGAGCGGGGCGCCCCCCTCGCTGCTCCTGGGGCGGGTGTCTCTCCCCCGCGGTACTTTCCCCGCGGTAGCGGCCCCGCTTGGTCTTGAGGAGGTGGGGGGAGCGCTGGTGTGAGGCGTTACCTGGGGGTGCCCAGGACCCTGCAGTGGGGTGACAGAAGGGGCTGCTAGCGCTCGGGGGTGGCGGGGCTGGCCCCGGCGGCCAGAGGGGAGGCACTGTTGCTTGCTGCAGTGTGTATCGATTTGTGTTGATTTGCGGGGAAAACATCCCCCCCACCTGCCCGGGGGACCGCAGTGAAAGGGGAGCCTCTCTCCCTCCCCCCAGAATAGCCCGCTTGCTACTTTCGGAGCCGCTTTTCGTGCCTGCAGCGCAAGTTTATTTCTGTTTGTGGCCGTTGCCTGTGTTGTTTCTCCTCCCTAAAAAAGTCCCGATGACTGCAGGATTGTCGGGACAATTAGGTTACATAGGAGTGGCGGGGAAGGGAGGGATTCTGTCTGTGTGGCTGGGGAGGGATTGTGATTCGATGAAGTTTCTTCCCTTCCTTTGGCTTTGGAGGTACCTGTTTGTATAATAATGGGTGGTAACGGTTTGGCCGGGGCCCCTCGGCTGTGTGTGTCTGAACTGCTGCAGTCTATATAAGGCATTACATTTACATTTCAGACTTAGGGGCTGTTTTTTGGTATGTGTGTTACTTTAAAACGCATTTTGAGGCTAAATGGGGGGGCAGTAAATGCTCATAACTCCTACTCCATGTTTAGCTTCAGAAAATAAGGAAACAGCTCTGTTACCGCAGTAACTCTTTTTAATAGGATGTTAAACGAGAGGTTTTGTAACCGTCCTTGGCAATTTTAGGTTTTATGTGGCATTTCCTGTGCAGGGTCAGGGATAGGAAGGGTTTCAGCTGTGCTTCTTACCGTGTGAACAGTTTTTTTTAATACATATATAAGTTTGTCAGGGTTGATGTTTCTCACTGCTTCGAATTGTTTAGATGTATAAATACGTATGTAAACATTGGCCTTTTAAGGGGCTACCGAGTTGATTTGATCGTCTGAACTCGTGGCTCTCCTATTTCTACTGGATCGAGATGTTTTGATTATGGCTAGTATCGGTGTATTTAAGATTGCAGTTTTTAATTTCCTGTCTTGCGTCAGTGCTTATATTTAGTTGATGATGTGGCTTTATTAAAGGTAAGTTTAGAAAGTGCTTTTCTCCTCCACCTTATTTAAAATGTTGATGATCAGAGAAAGGGGCTTTTCTTGTTGCTGACGACATGTGTGTGACATGTGAGTCTGAACCACCCAGTGTCTGTGCAGGAGCAGTAAACATGTTTACCTGAGAAGGAAAGAAAATGGATTTTATCTCAAAGATCCTGTGATATGAATATCATACTCTTAAAGCATATCAACAGATGACTTGAGAAAGGGGGGGGATTTTTCCCCGAAAACCTAGCTTTTGGAATCAACGAGAAAAAGAGGTTCTTGATCGCTGCAGCAAATGGCAACTTGTGCAGGTAGAAAAAAAAGATGGTGTTTAGTTTTCTCCTGCATGCATGTCAGCCCCCTCCTGTCTGCTGCTTTCATTCTCCAGGGAGGGATTTATTTACCACGCTTGCTGTCAAGTGTTTTTTCCTTTGTGCTTAATGTTAGAAAAACAGACTTAAATCTGTTTAGCACAAAACGTTTTGTCTGCACCGTGCATCGTTTGCAGAAAACAAAAGGTGTGTGATACCATTCAGGTACCTTGCATCTTCATCACTTTTGGCCCTCATCATTGCATCTTTTTTGTTATCAGAGTCCCTTTGATTCTTTTGTGTATTATCTTTTTAATTTTACAAATTAAAATAACTTCTTGAGCTATTGTGTGTTGAAGCATGAGATAGATTAGATGCTGGATAAACCCTCTGCTGAGAAATCTCTGTTATGTCTGACCTGCTAATGTTTACTGAAAAAAAAATGTTAAACCTTAAACCTTTAGCACAAATAAATAATTTGAGTTGTTTCTGTGGAAAGCTTCTAAATGCATTGTAGTCCGATAGTTAAATCTTCTTGTTGTTCTAAGATTAATGAACAGTAAATATTCTAGCCACTGTATTACTGGTCATGTGCAGTAAATTAATTTTTACTCTGTTCCTTTCTTCCTCTACATCTCTTCCCCCTGCAGGGCATTTATTAGATGTCAACAGTATATAGTTAGAACACCAAACTGTGTACTGTAAACTTTAAAGCTGTTGCTTATGTAATGGAGTCACACACAAGCTCTAATTGATAGTATCAAAAAAGTCATGGTAAATCAATTATGTAGTTTTTTTTAACACTTATGCTTTTCGTTTTTCTTCCCCTAATGGGAGTCCAAACTTAGGACTGCCATTCTGGTACATTAACACTGGACGGAAAGACAGCTGTACATCTTTCTATCTCTAGAGCTAAATCCTTTGCTGCCTTTTTGTACTCTGCTGCCAGTGATAGCTCTGTAGTAAACCAATATTTGACACTTTTAGTTAATTTCTCAATAAACCATTGGTTAAAGAACAGCATAACACATGTGAAAGGATCTAAAGAATAAATGTCTGTGTAGGGTTTATTATTAGAATTAAATTGCCAGACTATAAATGGTAGCTGTTTTTCATTTAGCATTTTTATGCTGGGGAGGGTGGGGGAATCAGGAAAAAGGTCCTGATTCTTCAGTCTCACCTTCATGGACATAGCTTTACAGCTGTGTACAAAGCCCTATAGGAGCGAGTGGGTCTTGTGTAGACGCAAGACCTACAACAGTGTGGTTCAGATGAAAGGCTCAGGGCCTAAGCATACTGTTTTGTCCCATTAGCTTTAGGTGAAACCTCTTCAATTAAAGGCCTTTTTAGTATATTTAGCATGCATGTTTCTTAATTCTGATTTAAATACAGTAGAGGTATGGTTGTTGTTATAATGGTTGAAGGTGAATGTCTTTTCAAAGTAAAAGAAAGCAACAGCTATTACTTATTTCTGTCACACTATTTAAATGAATTTCTCCTGCTGGAAGGCTAACAGTCAATCAAAATACAGTAACTTTTGAAAAATGAGTTCAGGCAAAACTGCAGACACCTTGAGAGTGCTACATCTTGCATTGAGTACTTCTACAATTTTTTTCATGGGGTAAAATATTTTTCCATTTTAAAAATAAGTCTTGCTCCAAACAGAGACATGTGTGGAACTAACTAGCCACACAGTTTGGTCACGTTTACAACATTTAAAAAGAAGGTGGATTTTTCTCTAGCCTTTCAGTTACAATTAGTCTCACGAAAACTTATGCCATAATAAAATTGTTAATCTTTAAGGTGCCACCAAACTCTTTTGCTGAAGCAAACTTAACATAGCTACACATCTGAAACCTTTCAGTTATAGTATTATATATTACTTCTAACAATAACAGACATTTTCAGGAGATCATTTTTACTTTAAAAAAGTTGATAATGACTAACCATTTTGCAATTGTTTTTCTTCATTTACATTTCATGATTAAATTTACTTTATAAATCTTCAGTATGTTAAAATACAGATTAAAAATAGCACTGCTTCCAAAATATGGTAGTCTGTTAACTTTTAAGGTGTTAACTGGCAGGATGTCAGGTGCTAGTGATACTTGGGATACTACATTATTTTTCATGCCTTTCTTCCCTTCCCCCTTTCCCACTAGGTATCATGTTTTCACTCCAACATTAAATTAAACTTGCAATTTGGGAATTGAAGAATGTAGCCCAAGTTAAAATTCTAAGTAAAGGGAACAGGTCTGCACAACTAGCTGAGTTAACTCTTTGAATCCAAAGAAATCCTGTGTCTCATTCACCAATATACAATTTTTGACATTAGGAAGACAAATACTGCAATTTAAAATCAAATCTAGTTTTCTCCTTTTTAACTTTCTTCTGGATTCTTTGTGTCTAGTATCAGAATGGCTATGGAGCATATTATTTGAAGATAATCAACTTATTACTTCTAATAGTAGAAATATTTTCACTTTAATTTTTAGAGAGCTTCTATAAGTGAACTAGTGATTTAATCAATGAGAACTGAAAGCAGACAGAACTTCTATGTAGAGGGATAGAAGTAACTCTTCTACATTACAGAAGCTTAAATTAACTTCCTCAGCTTAGCATCAGAGGGTTTTTTTGTTTTTTGTTGTTTTTTAATCAGGAGTTGAGATGTTTGGGGGAAGTGGGTGTTGAATTTACTTGAATGCAAACCTTCTGTTTTGAGTTACCTTTCATCATGTCAAATATTCCTCCCCATTGAGAGCATGATTGGAGACTGTCCATAGATCTCACTGAGCTTTGGATTAGGCTCTGTCTGAGTGTCCCATCTTCTGCTGTCTCGTGAACTTGGTTGTCAGTGGTTATCAGCCTC